TCCTTGTGTAAGAGGCAGTCAGTGGAAACCAGCTATAGACTAATTTTTTCTCTATTTTGAGAGGCAGGAGAACTAACCTGGAAAAAATGCTTTACAGCTTTATTTTTAGAAGACATGGATGTCTCCTTTGATGACTGCTGTCCTCTCACTTTTCTCCTTGCAGGTACTATGCTATCTGCTGCCAGCCTCTGGTTTACAGGAACAAGATGACTCCATTGCGCATTGCTGTAATGCTTGGAGGGTGCTGGGTAATCCCGACATTTATTTCTTTCCTTCCTATCATGCAAGGCTGGAATAGCATTGGCATTATTGATCTGGTGAGTAGCTAAGGGGGAACACCAACTTGATATCAAATATATTTGCTGCTGAATATCCTTCTTTAAAAAGAAATGTTCAGAGAAACGAAGGCAAGAAAGGCTGAAGGAGAAACTTCATGTTAGTGATGCAGAGGGGCTGTTGAATTTCTGGAGGATGTCTTTAAGGGGATTTGAAATGACTCTGTCCTGGAAGGACTGGTGCAAAGACAGTGGTGGCTCTGGGAGAGGATTTTACTCTTATCTTCTAATTAGTTCAGTGAATAGTCCTTTGAAAACATGCCAAGCCCCATCTGGCTCCTGATTGGCACTTCAGGAGTTTTTGGTTCCTCTTGACCTTCTTGCCATGCTAGTGATGTTTGGAGAGCCAGGAAATACAGACTTCCCCAGAAAGGATGGTGTTTTGGGCCAGTCCAATCAATATCTCATGTCCTTTTATGAGCCTTGAAGAAGGGGAGAAGGTGAAGTTCCCCTGTGCAAGTCATTTCAGCAGGAGTAATTTTCCCCACTGCAGTCTGGCTTCGTTTGCAGGATCCCGTCTACAGGGAAAGGAGTTAAGAGCTGCAAATGTGCTCTCCTTCCACTGTAGAGATGCAGGAATTAAAAATGGCAAACTGTGAAAACATCTTGTTTAGAGAGCTTGTTTAGAGAGATGTGGCATCCCCTATGCCAAGTCTTAGCTAAGGAGCTATGAATTCTTTTTGGCTCATGGAAAAGCTCCCAAGCCTCTAGACAAGGTGATAAAACCCAAATTGCTTCTAGACAACCACCTTCAGGACATGCATGCATGCATCAAGTCAATGACCAGATCTCAGATGATGGACTCAACCTGCAGACTTCTCCCTCCCAGGCTGCTGCCACCAGCCCTGTTCCTGGGGAGTTCTGTGTTGCCTCCAGCCTGGAGCTGCCCCTCAGCCTGCAGCCCAGTCCCTTTCCTGTCCATGTGGTCCTTTCCTAATACCCCCATGGGACTTGGCTGGGTGGAACTTGTGCATCTGTGGTGTAAAAGCACATCCTGATGAACAGAGCAGTGAGCACTGCACAAAAGCATGGCAGAAAGTGAAGTTACTCCCCTTTGCCGTGTCTTAACTGGGGAGTTAAACTGATTTTCACTGGCCAGGTTGAGGCATGCTCTGCAATGCTGGAGCTGCAGCGTGGGCTGGTTAGAAAGCCCTGGGGCCAGCAAGACCAGGGAGCCCACGGTGTGAGCACAGGCAGGGGAGGCAGCAGTGGGTAAGTGGATGGGAAAGGGGAGGGAGTAGTGGTGAAAGTAGTGGTGAAAGTGGTGGTGAAGTGTCCTAGGAAACAGGCTGCTGGTATCAGAGGAGAAGAGCTGAACTTCTTTCCTTCTTTGTCCTTGTTCTTCCTGCCTCTGCCCCAGATTCAGCAAAGGCAGTTCAACAAGGCTTCCAACTCCACCTACTGCATATTCATGGTCAACAAGCCATACGCCATTACCTGTTCCGTGGTGGCCTTCTACTTTCCCTTCCTCCTGATGGTGCTGGCCTACTACCGCATCTATGTCACGGCCAGGGAGCATGCCCGGCAGATCCGGGTGCTGCAGCGCGCGGGG